CGATCTATACAATAACAATCATATGACAGGTCCGTTTTTCTCTCAATGTATTTTATAATAATCAGATAAAAATAATACAATAGATAAATCATTTATTCTCATATTAAACAAATAACGATTTTTTTCAAGCGAAATTTCATTAGAATATAAAATACAAAAGAATAATATGAGTCATATCGTTAAACATTAGGTAGTGGCGATATCTGTTCTATTACCTCCTTTTCTTCTCATTGACTATACAATGATATCTATATACACGTGTGACGCTCACTCTCACAAGTAGAGGAGAAAAAGGAAATAAGAAATAAATACGTAGTTGGTCGACACTGACTAAACGTTAACTATATACGGCCTGTCCACGTAAAACGTCATTCCGTCACGCTTTATTTGTTTCATAACGCTTAAACGACTTAGTATCAAGAATTGTATACGTTTGCGATTTTTAGACGAAGAATTATGCTTTTTAAAATGGAGCACTCCAAAGTTGTCTACAACCTCTCATTCATTACAAACAACGGTGACGGAATCACCTACTTCCGTGGACAAACCGTATAACAACAATTTTAAAAGATATTGATTAGGAATTACAAGAAAATGTACGATCTGATAGATCATGATATTATTAACAAGGACACTTTTCATTGTTCAGAATGACACATCCTTCCGCTTATTATTATTATTTCAATAAATTCATTTATGTATAAATTATGTTCATTACTGATCAAGTGTACAACAAATATAATACTACCGAATGGATAACGGCATAATTTTTAATAAGGTTCGCAATAAATTTTATACCGAATAAAAGAATATCGAACATTATTTAATAGTAAAAGTTACCATAAATTTTTAGTATTAAATTAAAACGAGAATTTTTTTATTGAAATTATTTAAGATCCAAAAACTAAACATTAAAAAAGAACCGATATCTAATCCAGAAATATTAATAAAAATACTATCAGATACATGACGAACAAGCTTCGATGAATATAAAAGTAGATTCTATATTAGTAATGATTTTATCTTCGTATCATAAAGTGCATCAATAGTCATTATATTTTATTCTGAATCGAATCTAGCTTGACTTATTTCGTAAAAGAAAATATTCATCATTAAAAAATTTTATCATAATTATTATTTTTGATATAAAATTTCTAACTACAGTGTAATTATTAATCATAGAATTATAGAAATTATTTTATTTCGAAAATGAATAATAACTTTCATATTACTAATCAATCAATGAGTAAGAAATATGAAACACACGTTATGTTTATTTTAATTAACATATTAAATTTCGATCAGGAAAAACAAAAAATTGCTGTTTTAATAGAATGATTTTGTAAAAGAAAATAAATTAAAAACGTGATGAACATGTTTAGATAATCTATTCTCTTTCTCGTAAAGAAGAGGCTTACAAGAATTAATTGCTTGTGTGTCCGCACTTCACTAATTGATCCAAAAATTAGATAAAGATATAAAAGGAATTTTTTTTATAAGGGTTGACCGAAGAATTCAAATCTGACTTATGTTTTGTTCAATTATATATAAATCAGTAGCTTGGTAATTGTTTAGTAACGCGATTTCTACGAGAGCAAGTCTTTAGACGAGTGTTACTTGTACATAATTTAGAAAGCAAATACATTTAGTTCTAACAATTTGTCCTTGTCATTTCACGTATTGAGAAATGAATATGTTTTTTCTTCTTGTAAATTGATCTAATATGAAAATGGAATTTCTAAGTTGTTAAGAAAAAGAAGAAGATCTGTCATTTGTCTATCTATTCTTTATAAAAATGGATGTATTAAGAGAAAGAAATGTTTATCGAAAATATTTTGGTGTAGTATTATTATTATTAGAAATGAATTTTCTTGGTGGAACAATATTTGGTTTTCCATCAATGTTTAAAATTTTATCTAAAATGAATATTTATCAAAATTTATGTCAACCATCAAATACGACTCAATGTGCACAACAAACTAAACATTATCAAGTATGGATTTTTTTCAAAAATAATAAAAATAATAATAATGAAAATTTTATTTTTATTAAAGAATGCAATGACATTAGGAATTGCTTTTTTTGATTTACCTGCATTATTTATTGGAATACTTATTGATAAATTTGGTTGTCGTTTTGTTAAATTAATTTCAATGTAAATTTTATTTATATAAAAAAAATTAGTTATGTTTTTTTTTTTGTTTTCTATAAAGATTATTTCATATAGTTGGATGGTTATCATTAGCATTATTAAAACCAGGTAGAAAGTTTTTCGAAATAAAGTTCTTAATTCTATAAAAATTTTCAAGGTCGAGATTATTTAATATATATTCATTGTATATTTTCATCATTAAGTGGAATTGTTATTGTATTAACAAGTTATACATCATCAAATTATTTTTCAAAATCTCGCGCATTTGTATCATCATTATTAGCAGGAGCTGGAATTTCTGCAACAATGTGGTTCGCAATATTTCAAGTAAATTCATTTTTTTGTAATATTCTCTTTGTCATAGAGGAAAGTCCAATAAGAATAAATTATTTGCTTGCTTTTGAGCAAGGGCTTCCTGTGGTACTAAAAATAGGTGATGTCAATTAATTCGGGAAATAAAAATCTAGAAAAAAAATTAATTCGGAAAATTTTTACTCGAAGTCTATTAATAGTAGAAGACATAACAAGTAAAAGGTGTAGAAATATTAGAGACAATCTGATGAACTTATTTCTTTGAAACCACTAGAGGTGAGAAGTCTTCGAGAAGCTCGGTACGATTGATGCCGTTGTTGTAGTTGTGGGTGTTTAGAGTGTGGATGAGGGTGCGAGTTTGGATGTGGATGTGTGAGGGTGAATGTATTTGTGGATGTATAGGTCAGAGATGGAACCGGTCCGGTCGGTCCACCGGTAAGAAACCGGTAGAGCGGCAAAGACCGGTAGAGTTACCGGTCTAAAGTTCGGACCGGCACCGGTTCGATCTCTGGTATAGGTACGGACTACTCTTCTTTCACACCCACACCCTCTTTAATTGGCTGATTGCTTCAAATATAACGTGAAAATAAAAGGGATTAGTTTTCATAAAACTTGATAAAAGGTAATTGATGACGGAGAATCATTTAATAGCCTAGGCCTCTTACGAGAAAGAGCTAAGTGAGTTTGGAGACGAATATTACTTGTTTATTTAGGTATTAGTTGATGGAGACTATGTAGGATTGAATACATTATCATATATTTGGTTATCATTTGGTTTCTTAATGTTCTTAACATCATTTTTATTTCTTGATTGGAATTATTCTTATTGGAATTTACCATATAAATTTAATATTGAACTTGAATCAAATAATCAAAGTATTTTTATTTAATTAAATAAAATTTATCAAAATTTTATTTTGAATTATTTCTAGATGAATTAAATGAAAATAATCTTTGGAAAAATCTTTTAAATCCATTATATTTATTAGTTGTTTTATTTTTAAGTATTCTTTTAATTCCATCGGTTTTACTTTCAGTTATTTGGGAACCATTGATTACTTTTATTACAAATCATGATGATACATTAGGTAAATATACTTGTTTAATCGTCGAAAAAACAAAATATTTCTTTTAGCGGATAAATATACATTTGCTTATAATATCTCAACAATATCGGCTATAATAATATGTCCAATAAATGGTTATTTACTTAGTTATAAATCTGATAAAAGTAAATAAAATATTTTGTTTAAATTAAAATTAAATAAAAAAAAATATTTAAGATAAAAAACAAAAATTATTAAATATATTTCTTGTTGAAACAATTTCATGGTTATTAAATATAATATTATGTATAATATGTATATTTGCATCATCAAAATTTTTAATATTAATATTAATATTAAATTGTTTATCTCGATCAACAATCGTTGCTGCATGTCAATCTGTTATTTCAACATTGTAAGTTCTTTTTTTTCTATTTAAATTTAATATTAAATAAAATAAATAAATGTTAGTTTTCCATCTAAATATATTGGTCGTTTAACTGGAATAATGTGGAGTTTTGTTGGAGCTTTTACATTTATTCAATTTGCACTTCTTAAATTAACAGATGATATTAATAAAGCATGGAGAGTATGTGTATAAATTTTATTTTATTTTATTAAATAAATAAAAAAATTAATTTAGGCATGGGTTGTTGTATTATCAATGGTATTAATAATGGTATCTCATTTAATTCAAATATTAATTAAATATTTAAAAGAAAAAAAGAATCAAAATACAGATTTTAATTTAAATAATTCGAGATTTTAAAAAATATATTTTTTTTGTATTTCTATATTCGTGTGTCTTAAATATATTGATTCTCTCATAACTTGCACGATCATATATAGCAATCTAAAAAATTTTATATAGTAAAGTATAGGTATAGATATTTTGGAAGATATTTTTCCAAAAATCTGCACACCTATGCAACAACAACTTATTTCCCAAAACTTTAATATGGATCAATGCGATGTTATTCTTCCTTGTGAATTATCTTCGATATTCGAATTTATTGCAGCATACCTTCAGCTCGGACATCTGCATAAGTCTTAAAAGTTAATAACTTGACGTTTTTGATGCATGATATATTCTCTTTCTCGTAGGGAAGAGTCCAGTTAACATAAATTGTTTGCTTGTGTGTCTTCAGGGTCAAAAAAAACATCGAAAACCAATTTTCCGGAAAAGACATTTCTTAAAGTACTTCGATGCGGGGACTTCGAATCTGAGATCTATTGGGTGACCATGATGAGGAGGAGGGGCAAAGGTCAAAAAAACATCAAAAACCGATTTTTCCAGAAAATATGAAGATGTGTTTCTACGAGAAAGAGCTCAACGAGTCCTCGGACGAGCATTACTTGTTTATATTCTCTTTCTTGTAGAGAAGAGTCTTAGAAGAATAAATTGTTTGCTTGCTTGTGTATTCGCACTTCACTGATTGGTCCACGTAATAGGTAAAGATATAAAAGGATTTTTTATTTATATGAATTGACCGAAGGGTAATCGGGACCGAGGAACTCGAATCTTGTGTTAGTTTTTTAAAATTTTTTTCAGGATCATAATTTTACACAAATGACCACTTTTTTACAAAAAAACAATTTTTTTGTAAGGATTATGAAGATCGAGGAACTTCGATCTGAAGTCGGTTTTTAAAATTGTTTGAATAAATAGTTTACTGGTATCGAAGATACATCGTTCCTACGAGACGAGCGTTACTTGTTAATATAAAATAAATTTTTAAATTTTTTGAAATTGTAGAAATATCTTGGATACGTTCAACGATTTTTAAATTTTATAATTCATTAGTTGATTTTCGCGAATCTATGAATTCATATAGGCATTTCTAGAATAACCTTTAAAAAAAACTTTATAACTTATGTTCTAGTTTACAGTGTATAGGAATTATAATATTTGTTCAATATAAAACATGGTTGACATCGTATATTTATGAGGAAGGAAACATGTTATTACATCATTTTTTTTCTCGTACAGAAGGACACAATCAAAGGAAAAAAGGCGAACGAGGAAGAACAGAAAAAAAAGTCTTTTTTAATGTATAAAGAATAAGAAAGAGAAAAAAAACCGCGAGGTGAATATATTATGTTCTGGTATGAGTCAAACATTTTTATGCAAATTTATATAAGACTACTCTCTGTAACCTTCATAAGAACATTAATGACTTTTTTGTGTTATATATATATTACTATTTTGTGTTATATATATATTACTATTTTGTGTCACAATAAAAATCAATCGACGATAAGAAAATAAACTTCTAATATAAGTAAATATTTTCTTTTTATTAATATTTCAATCAATAGAATATGATAAAATCTATTCTTTTTTTTTAATTTTTATATAGAATTAATATAGACATCATAAATAAGAATCTTTTACTGTTACAATCTAGATTTTATTACCAAGATTAGATATTTAAATCATAAAATAAGTTACTTAGTTTGACTTCTAAGTGTTAACTTAATTTTACTATTTAGCAATAAATGAAATTTTATGATACAATATAGAACACGTTAAACTATAACACATTTATACTGAATACATTCGATTTTATTTCTCGTAAGAAAAAAAATAAGTAAGATTTTTCAAATATTTCGAGAAATTAGTTTAAAAAAAGATTGCAGCTTGATAACGATTACTATTTTGAACATTTAAGTAATAGATGTCATTAACAAATGGTCAATATGATCAACCAAATTCACGTCGTCGTTATACTCTTCAACCATCAATACATAGACAACAATTAAATCCAAATAATTCCATTTCTTATCCATCAAATTCTAAAAGACATTCATATAATAATAAATATGAAATAAGATCTTCTGCAGATGAACAAATTGATGATCCATGGGTTAAAGAATTACTTCAACGTGATATTGATTTTTCTAAATTAGATCATCGATCACCCCCAATTCAAATAATAAATATTAAAAATAGTTCGAAACCAATACCACAACATTTTTCATCTCATCAGAATAATTTTAATAATAGAATAAAAACTTCTACTTCTCAAAATCATTTCCGAACAAAAGAAAATTTCATTCCATCAAATCAATATCGTTTATCTGAATGTAAGATGAATTATTTCTTAAATATTATATTTTTAATTTTAATTTTAAAGCAAATCATCATCCATCAAGAAAATGGATTATTGAACAATTACCAAAATCAAATGATTTTTCTTTATATAATAATCAAAGGAATTCGAGACAATACCATTTAAGAAAACCAAATATTGATGAAGAAGAATCCCTCATTCAACAACAACGAAAAAATTCAGTTTATTATAAACAATCCCAACATACTAATACAAAGTAAAAAGATTCACTTTAAAATTTAAACAAATTTTTTTTATTCTATCACACGTCACCTAAACTGGTTAGATGTATTTCCAAAAATTCGATTATATCCTAGGCTAGAATAATTTCCCCTACTAACGTCGAAAGATGCAAATATCGAAATACTAACGGAAAAAGAGTGGGTGCGGGTGCGTACCTCGTATTTATCTAGCACCCTTATCAACGTCCAGCACTGTCGGGAATCTTTTAGAGTTGCGGAATGGAGGTAATCATACCTCCCACCCCTTCCGGTTTATGACAGCCCTACTTAGACAGTCAATACTCCATTTTAATTCAGGCCAGAATATTCAACAGAGACTCAAACCTGGGAGGATCATCTCTCTTCCGATTCGCGACTGTCTGCATACTTCCACAATGACCCTCACACGTATCGCTATTTTATATCAACAATATACTGATGGTCTAACCAATTTTTCTAAGCTTCTTACCAGATTGACGTACCTCGTGAGGAAATAAAACTTTCAATCGCTACAAATTGATTGATTAATTCAAAGTCTTTTTTGTGAAGAAGAAACTTTTCAATGAAATAAATTAACGATTTATGGATTCTACCTATTTATTTATTAATTTTTAGTGATGAAGAAGAAAATAATGATAATAAAAGTGGAATGAAAAATATTTGGAATTTATTTTCTGGTAAAGAAAAACGAAATATGTTTATATATATATTAGGAATAATGTTATATAAATTTGGATTAGAAGCATTTAATGGTTCAATTGTTAGTTTAGCAACAAATCGTTATGATCGTGATGCATTTCATGCTGGAATTTCAGCTCGTACATTTGAAAAAGTTGGTTTATTAGTTGGAGTAAATCAAGCATTTCAATGTATTGGTTCAATATTAATTGCTCCATTAATAAAACATTGGCCAACACGAACTGTTTTATCAATATCAATATTTATATTTTCATTATTAACAGCATTACTTATGATTGTTGATGCATCAACTGGTGGAAAAGTTAAACCAACTAATTTTTATCCAATGTATGAACATGATTATAGTTATTATGGAAGTTATCCAACAAATATTATAATACCAATATATTGTTTAACTGGTATTGCTTATGGAATGGTTGAATTAATTCGACGAATAATTCCTCGTGATATTGTTGGAACTGATGAAGAAAAATTACAAAGAATGGATGCATTAGTACATGTTTTTTATGAAATAGCTGGTGTTAGTGGAGCATTTCTTACTGGTTTGGTTCTAATTCCACGTTTAGGTAATAATTATGCTTTTATAATAACACCGATCTTATTTACTTTATCATCAATTGTTTGGTTTTTTATAAATTCATATGGAACTAAAACAAATATTTCGAATGATGATATACCTGGAGGAAATAATAATGAAAAAACAAATTATTTTAAAGCACTTATAAAAGGATTTCTTTTATTTGGTGAATCAGTTTTTATTGGTGGAAAAATCATATTTTCAAATCGAAAATATATTTGGTTATTTCCATGTTATTCCTTAACACTTTATGTACATCGTTATATAGAAAATGGTATTGCACCACAAATAGCTAAAAGATATTTAAATAATTCCGAATGGTCACAAATAATTGTTGGTGGTTCGAATTTTGGTGAATTACTTGGAGCATTATCCGTGTTTTTTTTAACAAAAAAAATTCGAAGTCCAATTGTATGGTTAAGATTAGATTGTTTATTATTATTAATTGTATGGTACATACCATTTTATAATCCATCTTCTATATCAATTAAACATGCATGGTTAATTGCTTTATCGTTTTTACCATTTGGATTTGGTTCAGCTGGTGATGATGTTTCATTAAGTGCACATATTCAATCAGCATTAAGTAAACCAGAATTAAAAAATAAAGATGTTTCATCATTAGGTGCTGTTATGGCATTTCTTTATTCATCTTATATTATTTTATATGCTATTTTAAATCCATTACTTGGAAAATATATTGATTCAGTTTATAATACACATCAAACAATTCGACCAGCATTTATTTATACTGTTGGTATGCAAATATCTATTATTTCATTTCTTGTTTTTATATCAACTTTTATTCCACGAAATTCTTTTAAATTAAATCCATCTTTAGAATAAATATATTTAACATTTGCGTTTTTCTATCTTTTATACACAAGTTTTGTTTAAAATAAATTTTTTCTTCATTGTAGCGCTATGAATTATAGAACTTTGATATTATTTATTTGGATTAATTAATTGTGAAGTAGGATTTGAAAATAAATATATGTACGAAACAATTAATTTAGCTTTTAACTTTACAAAATACTTATGTAATAAGAAAAAAATATTCTAAAGATTAGGTTATCAAGGAATGAATTTAATTTAGTATGATGAATATTTGAGAATAAAATATATTTTATTTTTATTTTAGTTAATATATGTATTTATT